CGGGCGGGCGGTGCAGTAGAGAGGGAAGGGCGGCCTCCCCGCCGCTCCCCTTCCTTTCCCTGATCCCAGGGGGGCTCGGAGCCGTGTAAGATTGGGAAGGGACAGGGGCGCGCTGCTGGGTTGCGACCTGAGGCGGGGGGGACAGGTCGGGTAAACCTGCGGGGTCTGGGGACGGGAGCGTAGCGAGGCACAGTGCAGGCAGGGCGTTTCTTGGGGCCGCGGGCGCTGTTTTCTTTTCAGGCATCTACGCGTCTTTCATGGACACGAGCGCTTTCCGCCTCCAGAGCTTGGCGATTTGGCTCTTTCCAGGGAAACAGTGGCTGGGCGGTTGCGGATGCGCCTGGCTCCTGAGTCCCAGGACACTGCACTGGGAAGCTTGGACGGCACTTAGGAGCTCCTTCCCCTTCCTTGTCCACAGTGTCGGCGGGCAGTTTCACACACTCACACTCAGAATGACCCATCGCACCCACACCGACACACACTCAAGTGCACCCTGACCACACATTCACACGCATGTGTACAGACTGTTCCTCACTCGGCACCAGTAGCCACTCTTCCTTCTCCAGAGACTGTGAGGTGGAGAGAGACATGTGTGTGCCCCGTTCTCCAGGGCTCCCACGCCTCCAGCCAAGCTGGCCAGTCCTGGAAGGAGTTTAAGAGAAGCAGGCTGGTGGGGTGCTGGCTGGGACTCAAAAGAGCCCCCCTTCTGAGGCCCGAATGAACTTCATAAAGCCTGGGCAGGAGCTGACTCGCCAGGTACCTGGGCACTCCTTATCGCACTCTCTGCTGGGACAGAAAAAAGGGGCTCTTGGGGGCCACGTCATGCCTTCCCCGCCAGCAGGATGGAGAACACTGTCTCCACCATGCAGACTGCCCCGGCCTCCTCCATCCAAGAACCAGCCTGAGAAGCCTCCCCTCTGTGCCTGGGGAACCAGACCCTTCTCTGTGGGAAGTTGGTGCTTGAAGAGCCAAGCAGCCGCCATAATTTGGCGAGGAATTCTGGGGGTCTTGTCGCGGTGGAAGCACATGCTTCTGTTTCCGATGGTGGAGGCAGTGATCTGGTCAGAAGCCCAGAAGGGGAACATGCGTTCAAAGTGAAAGTGGGCGCATTCCACGGAACGTAGGGGTGTCGGAGCGCTCCAATCCCTTCCACCCCAGGTGGGCTGGTGAGCTGCCAGGTATGGACCTGCTGTCTGGTCCCAGCTTGGAGACTCGGCCCGAAACTGGGGGCACTTTGAATATCCCCAGCCCCTGCATCCCCACTCCCATCCCGCCTCTCTGCTCTCCAAGGCTCCTGGTCTTCCTGCAAGGTCCAGACCAAGACGGCTGGGCTCCGGCTTTTATCCATTCTGATCTCCAGGTTTGCCCGGACCAATGTAAGTGTTGCCCAATAAAACCTTCTGTGACCCCCCCCTCCCACCCCCTTCACCATACACACCACCAGTGTGTCCTTTCCCTGCTGCCTTAGCTCCGGGTAAATATTGATTTGCCCCCAGTTTACCTCCTCCCTGACTGTCCAGTTGCACACTAAAACACCGGCCTCTGTAGGGACCTGATTTTTGTGTGACTTTCCGGGGCCTGTTTCCCCACTTCCTTCCTCCAAGCGGCATAGTAAAACTCGAGGTGACAAAGAGGCAGGGTAGGGTTCAAGGCCCCAGTTCCTGACGACTTGAGGGCTATTTTACATACGGGTCAGACAGGGCTGGAGGCCAAGGTCAAGTTGAACGTTGCAGTCTAGCCAATCTGAGAACTGCCATGCAAGCCTGGAGACCCAGGCAGCTGTGAAAGGCCCACCGCCCATCTCCCCTCACTCCTGACTCCTTTCTCCTTGGGAATTCTTGTTTCTGGCTCTGTTTGGTCAGGGAGCAGATTTTGCTGCCTTTGTGGAGTTTTTCGGGCGGTGTTTACAGACTCTTCTTCTCTGCCTCCGCCCTGCTCTTGGCTCAAGCTTCAAGCCTCTTCTGTTTTCTAGCCAGACCTGGAATAACGAAAACACAGCTCGGGGAGCCCCACCGAGCCGGCGCCTGTGCCAGCTCACCTCTGGCCATGGCGCAGCTGCCGGTGCACGCAGCGGCCAAGGCCAAGGCCAGCTCCACATTCCTCCATCCCTCTCCCCACTTCACCGGAGACCGAGCCCTGCGTGCAGAGGAAGGGCCCCAGCTCCACAGACTGCCAACGTCGACTGGGTCTCTCCTCACCAAAAATGGTGAGACAAGATGCTGAGGAGCCCCGAGCGAGCAGGTTTGTCTGGGAGGGACGGCGCTGGGGAAAAGCTTTGGGTTGCATCTCAAATTAGGCTTTTGTCTCTACCCGGCGGCCCCCTGCCAGGGAAGGGCTTCCAGTCTGAATTATTTATTGAGCGTCGTGGTGGATCTTTAATGATCAACTTATCCGGATAGTTTCTTAGTTCTCTATCAACTTTCAAACACTCTCCAGACATGGTTACTTGGAGGGAGGCAACCTGTGTTCCCTTTCCCTTCATGTCTTGGATCTCGATATAGGAAATGATTGTTCTGTCAGGCAAGTCAATGGCGTCCTGGCATGCCGTCACTGTTTTTAAAAGTCTGCAGGCTCCGCGAGATATAGAGTTGTAGCCACTAACCAGTGGGGATGGTTTATAGAATTTGAATGAGCTCCGTGAATAATTTTGGGGTCTCAGTTTCTAGGATTTCTACTCCCTTTGAAGCAAGAAAATCTCTTTCTCTCCCCTTCTTGTCCTTTGTCAAGGGGCGTGAGAGATTTGTGAATGGTTCCCAGCACCATTTCTTAGCCTCCTAGCCCTGCAGGCAGCCACTACACTGACTTGCTGTGGAAAAAGAAAGGTTGCAGGGCAATGAAGAACTCGAGTGTGCCCTGGGAAGCAAGCACAGAACCCCAGCGCACTTCTTCTTTTTCCCAACAGCAAGATCAAGATTCTTGCCTGCTCAGCTAGTTGGTCCTGACCCTCTGTTTTTTTGTTTTTGTTTTTTTGGTGTCTACCAGACTCAGTCAGGAATTCCTATGGGGTTGCAGAGAGGTGCTATCCACTTGAATCCTGGCAATAACCATTTTATCCCTTTGTGAGCTAGGTTAAGGAAGCCAGGGCACCCAATGGGATCTGAGGGAGGAAGTGGCCCCTTGAGCAAGAGGGTGGCAGGGGTGGAGGTGTGCCCTGATGTCCCCCAAGGGGGCCCTGACGGGGCAGAAGGGGCCAGATGGGAAGATGGTGGCCGGCCAGGGGCATGGCCTTTGTTCCAGGAGCCAGACCCTTTCTTTTGCCAGACCCTTGGCAGGCATGGCTTCTAGCCTCTTAGAGCCAGCCAGGGTGCCTATGGGCCTTGCTATCCTGGAGTCTCCTTCTGAAGAAAGAGATCTTGGCTATTTTTTTTGGTGGTGGGGGGGGGAGGACGGTGGGGGACTCCTTACCAGCCTGGGCCATGGCGAGCTGGGCTCCCGGGGTTAGAAGAGAAAAGGACAAAGGGAAATGGGGTTTTAATCGAGTTTGATTTTCACTAGCAAATGAAATTTACCTGCTCTCACTCTAACTGGGAGGAGGCTGTCAGCACTGCTCCCTGGCGCTCTTTCTCTGCATCCATCCAGCATTAGGATAAACATTCCTCGGTTGGTTTTAAAGACACTTTGTATTTCAAGATATTCATGTGTTTCTAATGTATCCAAGCAGCTTTACGAGCGGCATTTGCAGAACATCTTAACCCTCTCTCTCCCACGGCAGGAGGGGTGGGGTTGCAGAGATAATGGCAAAGGAAGAAAGATATGGAGGAGGGAATGGCAGAGAAGCCGAGGCTAGCTTAGCAGAAAGAGAAAGAGATTTGGGGGGAAACAACTGAACAGGAAAGAACCCGGAATCTGCAGTCCACTAGACCACCTGGGGAAGAGACAAGTGTAGGGCCGTTCTGGTCACAGTGGGCTTTGTGGGTTTCCCCACCCTTATTCCACCGGGGTGGAAGCTGCACTCTTTCTTTTCTTTTCCTTTCTTTTCTTTTCTTTTCTTTTCTTTTCTTTTCTTTTCTTTTCTTTTCTTTTCTTTTCTTT